GTCGACTCCGTCATCATCGACTGCGGGCTCGGGTTCTTCTTCTCCACAACTTTTCGTGTTGCTACCATTCAGTAGGGTGGAAAAGTGTTCCCTCCATAATTTAAGTACGTTATGAACATCGGTTACTAGGTCGCCATTGTTGTTCTTACAGGAGTACGCCCTGGTCTTGAAACCTTCCGTAAGTCGCCTAAATTTCTGGTAAAATTTTCGGGCATCCTTCCTCTCTCTTCTTATTGCGGCAAATACATTACGCTTCCCTCTTCAGATCCCTATAGCGGTCCCATATAGCAGGCGTTGTGCCCAATCGCAGCGTGGCCCTGTAGGCGGCATCTTTTTTCTCTGCAGCTTCCTGACACTCCTCATCATACCAGTTTTTCTTTCGGGCTCGCTGAAATCCGTCTACTTCTTCGGCGGCGGTACTTAATGAGCGGGAAATGTGGCAGTGGAACCCGCATATATCGCTTTGTTGAAGAGTGCTCTCTGGCTGTCTGTTGTGATTGCAGCTTTTCGACGTTAAGCTTTCCTTGCATATTTGGGCGCCCATTTTTTACTGCACAGAGGCGGGTGCGTTTCTTGTTTGCAACAAGATAGTGGTCCGAGTCGATGTTTGGGCCTCGGAGTATGCGCACGTCCAAAACACTGGAAGCTTGCCTTCCGTCTATCACAACACGATCGATTTGGTTTCTCGTTTTTCGATCCGGAGACAGCCACGTAGCTTGATGGATCTTTTTATGCTTGAACCTAGTACTGCATACTGCCATGTTTCGGGCCCGGCGAAGTCGAACAGCCTCAATCCGTTGTCGGACGTTTCGGAGTGGAGGCTTAATTTTTCGACGGTGGTTCCAAAGATACCTTCTTTACCCACCCTGGCATTGAAGTCGCCAAGCACGATTTTGATATTATGGCGGGGCAGCTCTCGTACGTGCGCTCCAAGCGCTCATGGAAGAGGTCCTTGGATGCCTTATCTTTCTCTTCCGTCGCGGCATGAGCGCAGATGAGCGAGATGTTGAAGAATCTCGCTTTGATGCGGATTGTGGCTAGACGCTCGTTCACCGGGGTGAACGACATTACTCGGTGACGGAGTCTCTCTCCCACCACAAATCCACCTCCGAATTTGCGCTCCTTTACATGGCAGCTGTAGTAGACGTCGCAAGGCCCCAGACATTGCTTGCCTTGCTCCGTCCAACGCATTTCTTGGATGGCGGTGATGTCAGCTTTTGTCATTACGAAGACATCAACCATCCGGGCAGAGACACCTTCTCCATTAAGGGTCCGGACCTTCCAGGTCTATGCCCTCAAATCGTAATTCTGTAAGCGTTTGCCGCGGTCGTCATCATAAGGGGGTCTCATCCGAGGCTTTACCTTGCTTCTCCACTGGAAGTGGTTTTTAAGTGGCGGGTCCCAAACCCAGCGCACAACCCACTGCTGGGACTGGGGTGGTTTCAGAACCAAGTACATGTTTATATAGAGAGCCGCTTGCTCCAAGCAGACACCCGCTTGCAGCCGCACCTACCGGTGAACAGACGCTGCAGACTTCAGTGAGCCGTTAAACCGAATAAGTCGGAGGGGCCCCACCGAAGCTCCCTCTCTTTCTGCCGTGACCCAAGGCTGCACTCGGATTGGTTACCGCATCTCGCACATGGGTTTCTCACGTTGCCCAGAGCGCGTGAACGAGGACGCAAGAGTCGGGATTGAGTATAGCCGCGCAACTGTAACTGCATACCCAGCGCAACGACTTTACCCCATTGCAGTCCAATAACTGTGTACTGCCTTTAGGAAATTTGACACACGAAAATTTCTTAGCGATTTCTTGTACGTCATTTTATATGGAGTTTTTGCTTTTCTTGAGAGCTGCATACAGGTCTTTAAGGTAGAAAAGGCAAATATCTTAAAAAAGGCTAAAAAAGGCAACATCAAATGTGTATATATGGAATCAGGGAAATCTAAATCGTGGACATTCTTAATCGAATATACTCTATCTCTTTAGTAGAAAAAAGGCAATCTCCATAAAATACGTTCCCTGTTGATCATTATCGCCTTAATAAGGAAACTTTGGCAATGGTGCTAGACGTAAAAATTTCTTTAGTGCTGCAACTTGCATCGGCCTCAAAATTTTTCGCTGAGGGATCTTATCAAAGATCTGTGGGTAACGATTTTAGCGTATGCTTAGCGGGTAGCATGTTGTCAGTGGTTATAGGGGAAGTGCTGAAAGCCCTAGAACAGTTCATTTGCAGACGCTGAGTTAAATTTAAAATGAATGACATAGAAAACCGAAGGGCAGGAGAATATTTTTACACAAAATACCGTATTCCAGGAATTACTGAGTGCACTCATGGAACGCAAGGAAAATGAGTAAAATCGTCGATTGCTGAGCATTTAGGTGTTAATCAAAAAGGGTATTTCAGCATGAATGCGATCATTGTAAGTTAAAAAAGTAAAATGTGTAGGTACATCTACTATTTTATTATTATTATTATTACGACGCTTTTATCAACTTACAATGTTGTTTGTCCAGACACCTATTATACCAAAGTTTCTATACAACCCAGTCTAGACATCAACCTCGTTGGTAGGTAGCGTATCAAAGAGCATAAAATTAGACATTGGAGGTAGATGTATGAGTTGGTAACTAGTCTCTGAGACCAGGCAGGGGCCAGTTCGGAAACAGTTTGGGACAAGTCCGAAACTTTTCTTTCATAATATTTTGGGTCCAGTTGGTTTGTTTGAGCTCCCGTTTCCGTTTTGAGGCGTTTGAAGGCCTTTTAAGCTGTTTTTAGCGTGTTTTTGGACGCTGGGATTGCCGCATTAATATGTGTAAGCACCAATCTATTAATATCGTTGAATTATCTTAATATCTATTGCAAAATGTTATACAGACAAGACTAAAAAGCAGAAAATAAATAAAATAAAAAAACTTTTTAATATACCGCGCTCTTATAAATGGCCTAAAAAGTAGAAAATAATATTTCTCAGTCCCATAAAATTTGTTTTGATAACTTTTGATTTTGAAATTTTAGCAAAAGTCATTATAAACATAATTATAATTTTTTGGGCCAAATTCTTATTTGTTATGTTTGCTGGGTTGGAGCTGCTTCGGCCGATAGAGTTAAAAAAGCGAAAAAATTAAATTTTCCTTTTACCCTCCTACGCATTTCAACGCTCTCGCGTCTTCATCAGGGAGTCTTTATTCGAAAAATAAAATCAAATAAACAATAAACATGATTAGCAAGTAAAATTCGCTGATCCAATGATGTCATTATAAACAATTAACGAGATCGAAAATGAAAAGCATGGGGCGCATGTAATAGACTTGAATTGATATGAAAGGTAATATATGTGTTAAATCTGTATGTATGAGGGTATATGAATAACGATCGCTTAAAATCGATCTCAAATTTGTACTTTTGCTGTAGAATTGTTAGGTCTATGTTATGTAGTTTGACTATTGTCAATTAAATCTAATCGTCGTTTAAAGTACAAAAACGACGTAATGCTTTGTACTGCACGCGCTCCACGTTTTTCGTTTTCAAATACATAAATTGTTTATAATGGCTTTTGCTAAAATTTCAAAATCAAAATCTATGGGACTGAGAAATATTATTTTCTACTTTTTAGTCCATTTATAAAAGCGTGGAATATTAAAAAGTTGTTTTTATTTTATTTATTTTATATACATACAGACATATGTACATATGTACATATTAATTTTTGAAGATTTGTTATAACGATATTTTAGTTCGAGCGGTTTATGCAAGATATATTGGTTCAAGCCATGACTCTTTTATCTGAAATATAAGCAGCGTTCGACATTTTATCTAAGCCGGCGGCTATCAGAGTGAACCGTTCCTTTTAACGCCATACAGAAACCCACAATATAACTCCCGCGAGCATAAATTTAATATGGCGCACTTTTCAGCGAGAAATATTGTGGAAAGAACAATTGGAGTGTTTAAAAGCCGATTCCGCCGCTTGATCAGCAACCTATATTATACTACCCCACAAAAGGTGGGTCCCGCAAATCCCGAGGACCCGCGGGATCGATCCCGCACACTTGCGGGATTGCGATTTTTATGCGGGATGTAGCGAACCGTGTCGCATTCCGCGAACCGCTACTTTGGTTTTGCCGACTTTGACAGTTCTCATTTTATAATAAACAACGCCTCAAAAACTTTAAATGCACTGCAATTCAGCATACTTGCACTAAAATCACCGTTCGTTTCACATTTTATTTATAAAATCTTATTTCAAATCATATACAGTCAGTCAATAAAGTTTAGGTGCAGCGAATTTTTTACTATACGGGAAACTATTCTTTAAACATTTTATTTTTCGATAATTTTTTATAAAAATATGGTTAATTCTACAACAAAAAACCCAAAAATCAGAGTTCCAAACCTTGGGCAAAATTAAAGAAAATTCGGCAAAATTTCATTCAAATATTGCACTTTTTATTTACGTTCTCTAGAAAAAAGTTGAGTATGCAGTTTTTTAGTCCATTCTATTTTACTATAACAAAGTGTAAGTTTGAGGTGGATAGGACTTACCATTGATTTTTAGCAATTCTTTTTTGTTGGAGGTGTCGCTCATTTTCTCCATATAAAATAATGTTTGATAATTTTTTTATATGGAAAAAATGTCCGACACCTTCAACAAACAAATTTCCCATATGTAACGAAAAAGCCTTTGCACCAATAATTTTAAAATTTGAATGATAGAGTAGTGGAGTTAGACAAAAAAATAGATAGAGATGGCTGCCAAAACTATCGATAGTAATAACCTATAAACGATAGTGACAATAATAGGCAAAACATCGATACTATCGACAGTGCCATCGATAGTTTCCAGCTCTAGTGTCAGCTATTTACTCACTAGTTTTTTTCAAGTCTTCAATTCATTAACTTTCTTGGATTACTTTCTTTTACTCTATATTTTGCTTTTCCGTTTCACTTCGAAATTTTAATCCAAGACACTTTTGATTTCTTTTCTTTTTACAGCAATGGAATCTAAGCTAATTTGGATAATAGCTATATTTTATTCAACCCTTCAGCATATCGGCTCAGCCTCATCGCCATGTAAGTTAATAAACTTTGTAAATTATTACATTTAAAAAAATTTCACCAAATTGGGTAGAAGCAAATGAAACGAAAAAATTAAAATGGAATCTAAAGAAACCCCACTTGCGTATCTGATAGTTATACTATTTTAAGTTCAGTCAGTTAATCGAGCTTTCTCGATGAAGGCGCTGATTGACTTCGATTTACCATACAAACATTTTAATTATTAATTCTCGATTAGTGATGTTAATCCACTCAGAATTCTCATACGACTCTCTTAGGAACGTTTAATTTGGATTTTTGACCCTATTTTATAAGCAAATGACACGCAGCTGTTTTGTGTCGGGTAGTATTTCATAGCTGATAGCCAATCAGAAATGGAAAAGTAAGGAACATTTTACCTAACTAGAGCAAACAATTTTCCTGAAAGTAGACAAAAATAAAATGTGAATAGAGTTATAAATGAAAATTACAAGGATAAAGCAGAAAGTGTTGAGTGACGTTATCTAGCTAATAATTTAATCAATAACACTGGATCACAAATTTTAGTTTGGTTTTTGTTCTCCGGACGCCACTATACAATTTCTATGGAGAATTGCCCGGTGATTCGGAAAATCGAGTTAATTTTTTCTCTATGGATAAGTTTTCGAGATATTTGCAATTTACCGTTATTCAGCTTAAGTAGTTCCGCTTAATTACGTGTATCTTACGAACCAATTTAACAATCTTAAAACGAGATACGTCAAATTAATGCTAATAGAATTCTCCATAAACCGTGTATACAACACCTTCCGATAGGACTAATAGTTTCTGACAAATTAATTAATCATTCCAGTTTTTTATTATTTAATAAAAATATTTAAAAGAAATCAAATTTTAACAGAAGAAAAATTGAAAAAATAACAGGTTGTGTGCCAAATTTTTGCGTTTGAGATAAAGCCTGTTCTGTTACAAAAAAAAAATCAAGTTACTAATGAAGAAAATCGATGTATAAATAAGAAGTAATGAGTGGTCAAATGAAAATGTGCAAAGATTTTTTGTATGAAATATGAACAGAAAAGCGTGTTACTCAGGTTAACGTGGCGTATGAGTAACTTTCTGTCCTCTAATTTTTCATACAAAAAATCTTTGCGTATTTTCATTTGACCACTCATTATTTCTTTATTTATCCATCGATTTTCTACGTGATAAGTATTAGTGTAGGGCTGGGGATACTCATACTCTCCTTTTTTAACCGACTTCACAAAAAGGAAAGGTTATGGATCATGAAGAAATTAACGATAACCTTAAATTTGTATATGAGAATTGAAGTTGGTTTTGTATTTTGCTTAAAAATTACTTGTTTTAAATCATATTTACATTCAATTGCAGAGAAAATTTGGTTGATGCTCTGTTATAATACATACAAAAACGGAATTGCATAATCCATAATAAATAGAGATGAAGGAAACATTTATACGCATAACGTATTTTATTATATGTATATGTCATAAGAACACTTCTGCGTTTTAACGTATGTATACACAATAGGGTGGTCCAAAAATGCATGAGAAAAAGTGAAGTCGGAATTTTTATGCTCTCACCCCCTAGGATTTTTCTATACCGAAAAAATATACCCTTATTTTTTACAACGCTTTTATCAACTTGCAATGTTGTGTTCCAGAAACTTTCAATGTTGTGTGTCCGACACCATAGCAAAGCTTTGAAAAGCTCCTATAAAAAAGCATAGTGAATAGGGCGACATCTGTAGTGAAGTAGTGCATAGGGCGATAGCTGTAGTGAATAGGGCGAGGTAGATGACATCTAGATGCCGCCCTATGTACTACGTTTGCTACAGCGGAAATAGACGACACGTCATTCTTTAAATAAAATTAATTGGTGCTCGTTTGTATGTACATACATATGTAAATGCATGTGTGTGCACCTTTCTATTAATATCGTTGAATTATTTTAATATCTATTGCAAAATTTTATTCAGACAGGACTAAAAAGTAGAAAATAAATAATATAAAAAAAACTTTTTAATATACAACGCTTTTATAAATGGACTAAAAAGTAGAAAATAATACTTCTCAGTCCCATAGAATTTGTTTTGATAACTTTTGATTTTGAAATTTTAGCAAAAGTCATTATAAACAATTTATGAAATTGAAAATGAAAAGCGTGGGGCGCATGTAATACACTTGAATTGATATGAAAAGTAATATATGAATGTATGTATGTGGGTATATGAATAACGACCGCTTAAAATCGATTTCAAAGTTCTACTTTCGCTGTAGAAATTTTAGGTCTACGTTATGTAGTTTGACTATTGTCAATTAAATCGAATGCTTTGTATCGCATGCGCTCCACGTTTTTCATTTTCAATTTCATAGATTGTTTATAATGACTTTTGCTAAAATTTCAAAATCAAAAGTTATCAAAACAAATTCTATGGGACTGAGAAGTATTATTTTCTACTTTTTAGTCCATTTATAAAAGCGTTGTATATTAAAAAGTTTTTTTTATATTATTTATTTATTTTGAAATCAAAAAATGTTTAGAGGTCGCCCAAAGCGCTTAAAGTTTTCAATGTATTTTATATTGGAAAAAACAACTTTTCTTATAAATGGTAAAGAATTCTTAACAATCAACATTTTTCGATCGGAAAACTCTGCTTCTCTGCAGGAGACTCCCTAAAATAATAACCGATTGTTTATTTAACCATTTTTTGATAGTTGTTATGGGTTACTGTTCGCGCACAAAATATAAATACTTTATTCTTCGACGTATAGCGCACCCGGTAGAGTGCCATAAATTTCACCATCTGATAATTTTTCTAGAGCGTATGGCAACACCAAAACTGCGTTCCCTCCAGACGGGTGTCGCTAATTCTCACTAGTTCAGATCTGTTCGCCTACTTTTTTTTGGTTAATAAAAGTTTACCAGCGGAGGCTAGTGATAGTTGGTGACAGCTGTCTGTAACTGCCGTCTTCACTGGGTGGAATTTATAACTTGACACATCTGTTGGAATGTGGGGGCACAATACATATCAGGGCTTATATCGTGGCATCTATTGCGATAACTTGGTAATTTTACAGCTATGTTTCCCTTTGTACTAAAACATTCTGGTGGAAACATTATCGATATTCCGATATAGTATTTGTGCCAACCGGTAACTTTTATCCATGGTGAGACGGTGGGGAAAATTTGCTACGGTGTACAAATAAATAGTATCTGGCTGTGCCAAACGAAAAGGAAAATTTTGACAAGTGAAAAACCACACAAACGCTCGTGCAGAAGCTCTATTTTGTGTGTTGCTGAAATTGTTAAATTTACATCTATTTTAAAACTTGCAAATAACGTACGTTCTTTTTAAATTTATCAGATTCCTTTTTGATTTTCACTTCTATCACTGCCAACAATATTCTGCCTTATCCTGAGTTTCACCCGATAATTGTTCATCCGCCGTAGTAAATACATGGAAACCAAAAGTGAAAAATGAACAGGTTCGGAATTGCACAACGGGGTCATGGTAACCCCGTACAGCCTCGAACATTCTTTTGACATTCCTCCTTGTACTGCGGCAAATTCCCGGTGGAAGAATAACGGAAGCAGTCCAAATGACGCAGTGCCCGTTATTCTTCCAACGGGAATAACTAATTTCCGCAGTGCAGGAGTATAAAAACCCGCTGGCAACCCCGTAGTCGGCCATTTGTACATCAAGTATTCGGAACAGGTGAGAAAGGACAGCATAGCGGAGTGAAAAAAAGGTGGAAAACCATTAAGCTAAAAATTTAAAGGACAGTGATGTGCGAATTATAACAAAAAAAAAAAAGACAATAAAAGTAAAGCAAAAAAAAATATAAAAATCAAGTGAGCATAGTGTGGCGATCAAAGAGAAAGAGCTGCAAATTGCTTTAGGAAGGTGCACCTCATCTCCTTGCACCAAAATCTGGCTAAAGTGACCAAAACGTAGGGCGCATATAGCTGTAGGTTAACTGTTCCAGAGGGACATATCTTGAGTAAACACTATTGTGTAAGTACAGGAAAAATATATATATATATATTTCAACCTAAACAAACAGCTAAGCGCAAAGCTATATTCGGCGGAAGACTAGTTCTTCAACCAGCAACATCGAAGCGTTCGCACGCCCGCAAATACGTAGCTACTGTCACCGCAGCGCTAGTGGGGCCTGATAAAAGGGACCGCCCACACGTGGGTGCTCAAAGCACCTTACAACACCGCTAACTAGACCCGTAAACCGAGGTCGCGCTTCGACACCAGACCACAATCAAAGGCGTGCTGACNTATAAAAGCCCGCACAATTTTTGCCCTGATATAATTTATATCTAGTAACCAAAGAGATAGCTGAACAACAATAAGGCCGTCTGGCCAGTGAAGAAGCAAAGCTGTTGACTGGCTGCTCTCCAACCGGTTCGGATTTTTATAGCTGGGGCATGGCAACCCCGGACAGTCTCGAACATTCTTATTTTTGACATTCTCCTTTGCACTGCGGCAAATTCCAAATGGAAAAATAACGGAATTGTTCCAAGTGCCGCAGAGTTCGTTATTTTTCCATAATTTCCCGCATTGCAAAGCTATAAAAACCCGCTGACAACACCACAGTCGTAAAATTTTGAATGTGACAAGTGTCGGTGCTAAACAGGTGGTGCTAGTGAAGAAAAAAAACCCATAACTAACAAAAATTAATTCAATAGAAAGGTGAAACTTAATTTAAACTACAACTTCTGTGCGTGCCTAAAGGGTGTAGCTAATAACCTGTGAAAGTGAAAAGTGAGACAAATTTGTAATACAAAGGGCCAACCTACTCGGGCTACAACGAAAACTAAGCGTGCCTTCTTCCTTTTATTGGGCCCGGCAAACTTGCTTGATTTGGGCGAGACGACGGTGCAGCCATTAATCAACAGAAAACAGCATCCAGGAGAGTACCAAAGCTTAGGTAAGAGCAAAGTAATTTCGGGAACATTTTCTTTAAATTTGGTCCACATTTGAACAAAAAAAAAAAAAATTAAAA